TGGGATGCCTCCTGGGTGCCTTCCTAGGGAGGTGTCCCGGGAATGTCCCACCGGGACAGTACCCCGTCCCCCACCCCTACAGGAGGAGGCCCCAGGGAAGACCTAGGACACGCTGGAGGGACTATGTCTCTTGGCTGGCCTGGGAACGCCTCAGCATTCCCCCGGAGGAGCTGGAGGAAGTGTCTGGAGAGAGGGAAGTCTGGGCATCTTTGCTTAGACTGCTGCCCCCGCGACCGGTCCCGGATAAGCGGAGGAAAATGGATGGATGGATGACTTGGAAAAAATGGAGCCAAAGCTCTATTAGTCAGGAATTAGTTATTTGTGCTCAAAGCAGTTGTTCATTTCTAGAAGAACTTCCATGAAACAACTGCCTCCATTTAAACCTAGTTAAATATTAATTTCTCATTCATTTCTAGTGGAAACTTTATTTGATGAAGTGCACGTATGCTTGCCTGTAGATAAATATGGCACTGAATGTTTTGAAGGCCTGCTGTGCAATGACTAACAAATGCTCAGGGTTACACAAGCAATTAAAGCTCTATGAAATTAACTGGAGGTGCACCAGCTGAGCACTGTCTACAGTGGGTTTTCTATTCCTACCAAATAACCTTTACAGGGTAGTTTCTATAATTAAGAGGACATTACAGACACATTCAGGCCCTGCCACTTCAAACCATAATATCAGCCTGCTGATATGTCAGTCACGCTCTAATGTCTCCATGCAGCAAACATGTTATTGTAGGTTTTCCTCTGTGGCCCATTAAGGTAAATAATGTCTCTGTCAGCTGTCAGCCACAGTTTGTTCTGAGTCACTCATCAGGAACTCTGAGCTCAGTGGAGTTTTGTTTTCCAAAGTGATTCTATATCCAGGAGACATGTGATGGCATGCATCATCCTGACACGTTTTCCTTGCAGCCCTATTATTTTTGAAATCCACACTTGGAACAAAAACAGTCCACCTGAGTTACTGCGAAGTTCACAGTCAGCAGGCATTTTCTGGTCAGAAGCAGTAATTTCAGTTTGAAGGGCGGAAACACTGTCTGTTCATTCATGTTCTTCAGTCACCACTCCGTGGGGCATGGAATTTGAATGGAAATATACACATGCACTTTTGAACTTCCCTTTGGTTTCTTTGTGATTTCCTTGTTATACAATCATGGGTTATTTCTCAGCTTCAGCTAAATTCCTGTCCTCAGCATGACCAGGTGTTCAACTCTGGCATCAGGCTTAATTTAACCATTTATCCAAAACCTTATCCTGACTGTAACAGGGGTTAGGATATTTTTCACACCTGACAACTTTTGCGTGTATGTGTTTGATTTCCTCTCCCCCTTGTTTGGTATCAGTTGGCAGTGTTTAGTTTGGAGGTGCCTCAACAGCAACAAAGGAAACTCCTGACAAGGCAGAGTGAGCTAAAGGGCAGGTGGAGGTCAGCACACACAGCCTCGCCTCCCAAAGCCCAGGGGATTTATCCTGCCATTTGGAGAGCATTTGTGTAAAAAGTTAAAATGCTCACACACATGGTTGGGTTATCACTAAAAACTTTTCAAGGAAATTATGAGATCATAAACTAATGCCTCAGTAAATTGCTTTGCAAGATCTACTCTCTCTGTTTGGCTATTTTGTTGGTCTCTGACTTTTCCTTTTCTTCTCTAACATTAATGCATACAGTACTAAAATACACACCTGATCGCCCTGACTGCCACATTTGCTTCCCCTTCTGCACCTCCATCACTGTCCAGTT